GCGTGTAAAACCAAAAACAACATAACTGGGCCAACTTTGGCCAAAGCCATTGACTCTCTTTGGCCCTCCAGTTCTTCCCTCCAAGCACAATGTGGGGAGGTTGGACCAGAAAGACCACCTCCAGGGGGTCCCGGAAGCTCTCACCCCCTGTGAATTTACTCTTGGCCCCCTCTTTGCTCTTCTCCATCTTTTGGTTTGGTACCTCTTTCTGCTCAGAGGTAAAAAAGAGTTCATCCACAGGGTTGGTATGAGTATGTGGTCAAGCCCCTTGGGCTTAAGCCCATATCAGACCTAAAATTGTGACACAATAAAACAAACAAACTTACATGGTTCTAGACCCGTGGTTTGGCAAAACTGCGGCTCGCGAGCCACATGCGGCTCTTTGGCCCCCTTGAGTGTGGCTCTTCCTAAGCCTTAGGAGTACCCTAATTAAGTTAATAACAATGTACCTCCCTATATAGTTTAAGTTTAAAAAAGTTGGCTCTCAAAAGAAATTTCAATCGTTGTACTGTTGATATTTGGCTCTGTTGACTAATGAGTTTGCCTACCACTGGTCTAGACCAATAGGATGTGATCTTCTTGGGTGAAATCATGATATGCTATTTCCCAGCCTGAAATCCCATGTCCTGAACCTGGAAAATCCTCTAGGACAGCCTCGAGAATGTTTACATGTGTAAGAGTCCCAGGATGGAGCTCTGGGCCACCTTCTGTGTAGCTGAGGGAAGAGACAGGGAACAGCAATCGGGGAAACTGCTGGAAACAATGTTCATAGACTCAGATGTCAATAGATCAATGCCATGAAACACAGGAAGTGAACACGTGGCCCTGAAGTTTTAATGCAAGCAGATAAATAAGATCTTATGGCAACTAGGACCTTGGTGTGACAGGGTTCATGACTATGACTCAGTATTTCGAATATATAGTTTGTTTGTTTGTTTGTTTTTTTAAAAAAGTTCCATAGACGGTGAGGGGGAAATAGCAATGTTTCCAGAGAAGAGGTACACCCTCAACTGAAGAAATTACTTAACCTCGATTTGCTTTGTTTTTCAAACAGAATGACTTTCCAACCAGAAGAGATAGAAGGAATAAAGGAAAGAGAAAATTACAACCCAAAATAGTGATGAGACTACCACACTGCTTTGAATGTATTCAAGACTCCTATCCCAGTGACTATAAGGGGTTGATGGGCCTATTATATGCATCAGTCGGCATCACCCACAGAACAGAGAATGGAAGAAATATTAAGAAACTAAAAATGGTTAAGTATCAAGTTTCCCAGGAAACAAATATGGAAGATTCAAGAAAACACATATTAGTAAGCTTGTTCATTCTTGGCAAAATCCAAGACAAGAGATGGTCAGAGAGCTTTCAGACATTGATCACTAAAAACCAACACAGAGTTACCAAAAACAAGTCAGAGCTAACCAAGGTCATGTTTCTTTTGATGAGAGGGCTCCAGATTAGTAGGCCAGGGTCCTGTGGACATAGTAGTATTCCTTCATTCTTGCAAAATATTGGATAAGGTCTCCTATAATCCCCCTGTGGAGAAGGCCAGATGCAGAGCCATTAGGTGGATTCAAAACTAGCTGACTTTACTCAAAATTGTTCTGATTTCTAACTAAGCAACTCAGGCTCCCTTTTGGCTCGATCTTTGTCAATGTTTAGCAACGCCTTAGATGAAGTCAGAGAAATGGGACTTACCAAGCCTGTGAATGACATGGAGCTGCAAGGTGTCATCAGATCTCAGGCAGCAAAAAATTGGGAGGAAAGGTAGAGGGACTAGGAATCTAAAAAGGGTATAACAGAATCTTGAGGACCAGGGGCAGCTATGGGTCAGAGGCCAGGCAACCATCAAGAACAAATATAAGAGGGTGTAGGGGGGCAGGGCTGTCAAGAGCTGAAGAGAACAAAGTAAAGTGAGGGATCAAAGCAACAGGTACAACCACCACCACCCTAAAGACTCAAAGGAATGAGAAGTCAGGGGCAGAACAAGGAGAGATGCAGAAAGAAAAGGAATCTGTGGAGGCAACTGCTATTCTTCCTCACCCTCGGGAAAGCAACCCTGCAAGAGTCAGACCCAGAGCTGGATCAGGATAAAGAACACCCACTGGCTGGATAATGGAAGAAGGGGCGGAGACTTGGGAAGCGGTTCCTTGACAGGAAGGGAGACTGACTATAGCTGATGACTGTACAAATCAGCCACAACTCCCTGACTGTAAAATACCAGCATGCCAGAACACCAGGCCAAAGCAATGAGAAGCGTGGTACTGAGGATCAAAAAAATCAATTGCACAGTATATGATGGGGGCGGGGGACTGGCTGAGAAGCTATTCATTTGAAAAGCAGCTCAGTTTTTGGTCAACCACAAGTTTCACCCAAGCCAAAAACATGATTGGGCCTGCTAAAATGTTAACCCAATCTTGAGCTTCACTAGTATTCTTGGTACATGCTGGAACTTCACCCTCTGTTCCCTGTGGTACTCATAAAGGTTGACCAGAGATGGTGCTTATTCCTTTCTGGGTGCCATCATTTTGGAGGGTCGCCACAAAACTGGAATCTGTCCAGAAAGTTATCAGAGAAGTGAGAATACAGAGAAACATGCCATATAATGAAGAAGTGATGGGGAAGAGAGGACCACGCTTCCAAATCTTTGAAGAGCTATGTCAGACAAGGTTGACTTGTTCTGAGCTAGGACTAGTTGGTGGGAGACCCAGGGAAGAAGGGGGATCATCTAACCTTGAAACGAGCTGCTTTGAAAAAATACGCTCCCTGTCATGAAAGCCCAGCCCACAGCTCCCACACTTTATACCTCAGTGTCCACTCGGCTACCTGTGTACCTTGGCATCTCAAGCCACCCACCTGAGCCGTCTGATATTAAAGAGAGACCATTTAAAGGCTAAGACCCATTATTCTCAGCTCTCCCTGGGTTCTAAATTAATCCATCAGAAAGAGGCAGACCTAAGCTAATAAAAGCTCTATGTGCATGTTTTTGCAGAACTAAGAATTAATGCTTAAAAGGGACCTGAAGGGACAAGTTGGGAAATCTTTCTTTATCTTTATGCAGTTCCCCCGCCACCCTGCCCTGGGTTTGCCAATGTCATTTTATGACAATGGTATGGTTTTAGGAGGCAGAAGAGCACACTGCTAAGGAGCGTGGTTCTGGAGTCTAACTACTTGGAGAATAACCCAGCTCCACCCATTTCTTCACAGGAGACCATGGGTGTGTGAAGCCCCAATGTTCTCATTTGTAAAAAGGGGGGGGGCTTACAAATTTATCTGCCTTGTAGGATTTTCTTTTGGTAAAAATTAAATCAGACATTAAATATTAGTGTTAATATTATAACAACATATAAATAACTCATATAAATGCAGAGCTACACAATTAAACCAAAACATTTTTTCCATAAAATTCTATGCATTAGAGAAGCAGTAATTGACATATCAACTTTGGATCTTATCATTCCTAATCAATTTCAAGTTGAGGGCCTTAAGAATCTACTCTGCCAAAGATGAGCATTCCCTTGCTGAAGCAAGACATATGGTCATTTGTCTTATGATCGTAAAAGTTCTGCTGAGAGGAGGGGCTAGACATGTTCAGAGCATTTCTGGGAGGCACGAGGGGCGTCAGCA